TTTATACAATAGTAGTTCAATAAACAATAAGTTAAAATTAAGTGACACATATCTTCGACACAATATTGACTATTTTTGCTCAATTTCGCTGATGAAAATAGTTCAAATCAAAGCCACAGCAGAACAGTTTTGTGTCTCCGAGCAACACAGCGGTGTTTCGTTACTGAATGAATCTACGTTTTTGAACGAATCGAGTGAGTCAATGATTCAGTAACCCATTTATAAAGACAGTAGTCACTGGCCTCGTTTCTGAATCAATCAGCCGTTTGAACGAATCTGTTGAATGACTAAATGACTCACTCATTGAAACAGTCATTTGCTGCCACCTGCTGGTTTGGTTTCATATTTAAAACGGTCATTGCATTTTTCCCAACATTTCTTATTTGTATGTTTAAAAATATATATTTATTATTATATTATTTATACCCCTTTTCTAGTCACAGAGCACTTTATTTTGAGAGTTATTTAGGTGAGAGAACATCTGTAACTTTGTACAGATTGGATATATATATATATAATATCTATATCATCTATATATACAGTATATATATCTATCTATTAGGGGTGGGAGAAAAAATCGATTCTCCGATGCATCGCAATTCTCTCTTCAACGATTCTGAATCGATTCTGAGCTTGTTTTTTTTTTGTGTTTGCGCTTTGTGTTTGTTGTCCTGAAGCTCGATCGCGGCTGCGGTTAAATGCACTTGCATATACTTTTATATGAAATTGATGTAAATGTATGTCAGTTATGTTTTCAGAGCAGGACAGAACATCTGATATATCGAAATAGATCTGTGTTTAGTGTAAATGCAGCCTGTTAAAGCTGCCACTGTCTATGATCTCATAATCAAATGGCAATAATGCTGAGGAAAAAAGAAAACCCCATAACTAGCCTATTGTCTGTAAACGTTCGGATGCTTAAAGAACACTTATTTTAAATAAGGAATTGTTTTAAAAAGTAGTCTGTTTATATAATAAAAACAAAGTAAATTTTGCACAAATAAAATTTGATATAAAATGTATATGAAAATATAGCCACGTGCAGTAATATTGAAAATTGAGAATGTGACGCATTGTGATATTGAGTTGATAATGATAATCGTAATTGAATTGAATCGTGAAACCAGTGAAGATTCACACCCCTATTTTTAAGATGGCAGTACTGACATACAGAGATTCCAACTATAAACAAAAAAGCATAGAAACAGCAATTTTGGTTAAAATGTAAAGTTGTAAAATGTATTTGCACAGCAGAAGAATTAATTAGGAAAAAATGTAGATCAAGAATCATTTTGGAATCGGATCGTGACTCCCAGAATCGGATCGTGGAGTGCCTAAAGATTTCCACCCCTAATATCTATCTATCTATCTATCTATATATATATATATAGTTTTTTTTGTTTGTATATGTATCTGGCGGCGGGGATACACACGATTTGTGTGTCGTTTGTTTGGGAGCGGAGCATGCACGGTCAGCTTTCGAGGAGCATCTTGATTATTTCCAGTTGTCTTTTTTAACATCATAATCTCTATGGCATAAAAATAAAATACTGCAATGCTAGCTTTTTTTTGTTCCTTCCCAACATTGTGCAGCCCTGCTCTATGGTCTCCTCTAAATGTCTGGGGCCTCGTGAATTCATAAGTGCTGCTGCTAGAAAAGGCTCCTGTTCTCCAGGAGGTTTATAGAGTAACATATAATAACAAAATAATCTAGAAGCGAGATTGAGAGTCACTTTTATTGAAAAATAGAGATCTCTTCGCCAAAAAAAAAAGCAAAAAGAAAACTGCATTTTCTATAAAATTGCTTCTCACATTTTAAAAACCTAAGCATTATAATTTGAAGTCCGACACACGGCGCTCATTAGAAGCCACTCTTTCCTGAGTCAATCAAGACAAATCTCTGCACAAGCTCTTCCCTCTTCAGTTAAAGCACACCGCGAGCGAGACGGAAATGAACAAGACCTCCATTAAAGCCTCAAATCACCTCATACAGAATAACACACACTCAAAGACTTTCATATCAAGCTGAGTAAATTGCTCTTGAGTGACGTACTGAATGAGATTATTAAAACATTTGATATTTTCAACAATGTAAAATAATTTGGGCCCCGTTCTTATCTAGCAGGAAGTTTCCCAGAACTGAGACTTTTCCTAGAGCTACTTCAGAGTTTCTCTCAATAAACCTGCAGCTCATTGCAAACTCACTTGGTTACAGTTCATCATCTCATGCCTCAATGCTATGAGTTACAGAGCTGGGTAGATTACAAATTATTGTCCGTTACTGATTACAAATTACAGATTATATGATAAAAAGTCATTTAGGTTACTCATTTTAGGTAATGTATTCTAACTACTTTTTAGATTACTTTTTTTTATCCAACTTTACATTTATCATTAAATATCAATATTATTCTTATTGATATTTAAAAAACACAAAAAAAACTAAGAGAAAGAAAAAGAAAATATATTATTTTTTTATATCAACATCAAAAAATGCATTAAACGTTACATTAGTGAGTTGAGCGTGAGTGAATAGCTCAGCTATTTCCCCTCAAATGCATAAGTATGGTTTACAAATGTATTTATACAACATACAGTCAAAGATAAATGGTATGACACAGTAGGATTTTTAGAATCAAGAGAATCAATAAAATATGAATAATTGACTGCCCTTATGTGAATAATATGTAATCCATAACAATGTAACTGTAATCTGATTATGAGCATTATAAAATGTAATATACTCCAATTACAAGTACTTAAATTTTAGAATCTGTTTACAATCCATATATGTTTACATGTAATCAGTTACTACTAGAACTGATAAATTACTATATATTTAAAGTAATCCGACACAATCTAATGAATAGACTTTTGTCCAAGAACCAAAAAAAAAAAAAAAGTCTCAAAGACTGATGGACTGACCAAATAAATGCTTGCTGCAAAAAAATTGGAGCCATAAACATTTTATATGGCTGCTAAACATGAACCATGGACGAAGGGAGATGGACAGTGGAAGTTTAGCTTTAGATTTAATGAGACATGTTTCACGAGGTGAATTATTATTACATTCTGCTAAACATCTTCTTTTGTGTTCCACTAAAAAAAAAAAGTCTGGTTCTTTAAACGCGGATGAAATGTCGTCCTCAGGAACCTTCAGAAACAGCAGCAGTGAAGACGGTGAATCCAGACGTAGGTCTCAGTTTAGTGAACTCTGCGCGTTGGAAGATTGTTTTCTTACTTAAAGATGTATTGCGAGTCCCGCAGGACACAGTCAGGTGCGTGAGCTTGACCTGTTTTAATCAGAAGATGATTTTAATGTGTGCACATCTGTTTGGCGCTGCATCTGCTGTCGAGCTTTCGTTCTGTCGTTTCTCATTTTGTCACTCGTCTGTAAGAGTTTGTTTAAACCCTTGCACTGTTTTATCCAGCTTGTGTCTCATGCGGAAATTCTGTTAAAGACGGTTCAGCTAAAAATGAAACCATTCGTGTGCGGATCTCATAGCAAACTGAGGAAGTTCATGAAGTTGTGTAATGAGTTATTCTGGAGAAGTTTGTGTGTGGAAGAAAGCATGATTCCATAATGAAGATAATTAACTTCAGAGAGCCGCGTCTGGACCGCTGGCTTGGGTTTTTAAGGGAGATGAAGAGGAGAATTCAATTATCGGAGTTTTCTGAATCGTGACTGTGCAGAAATAATTATCTCTCATGTTTTTGTGCATATGTTAATTAGACCTTTAGAGTCAACGGGAGAACAATGTTTAGACACGGATCCGGTAAAGAGAGAAGGGTAACGGCTAAACGAATACAGTGAAGGAAAACGAGGCCAGAAAGGAAGGATCTGGTGAAATCTCGCTGGTCTGCAGTGAATCTGGGTCTCCGTCGAGCCGGAGGAGCTCTGATCTCTCACACATTCATCTCAATGACAGCTGCTTGGCTGGAGTCACCTGTGCTCACTACTGCTGCCAGACTCTTCTGAGCCAATCACACGAGCTCTGAACGTCACGTGACCAGTGACACTCTAAAACATCCACTGTTCAGTGTTCACTACAGAATATGATTTTAAAGAACGAATGAAGGAAAAAAAAACAGATTAAATGAACTGTCAAGAACAGCAGTGAGGAGAGGACCTGAAAGAAGACAGTGAGTTGGACGTGATTAAAGATGAATGTGAGTGTGTGTGGAGCAGATCCGTTCAGATGACACACGTTCTGAAGAAGCGGATCTGAGGCAAATGAACACAAGTGATCGTTCATCAGCAGATCTCAGCAACATCTGCAGGACGTCAAGACCCAACACAAGAACCGACAGCACATTACAGAGACGAGAGTGTGACGAATCAGCGCTGATCAGCAGCTCTGTGGGATGTCTTCAGAAACACACACACACACACACACACACACACACACACACACACACAC